ATAACTGTCAAGTCAAGATTAATATTAGCAGTTGGAGTGTCATTAATGCATTACATTCAAAATTTCAGATCACTTTCATTAATAATCTGTGTTTTGCATATTGATTTTGTCATTTGTAATCATATGGAGAGCAGGCTAGGACACTCCATGCTCAGCATCAAACTGAATCTGCTGGCTATTTTCTTGGTTTAACATGTTGGTAAATTGCCATAGATTCTAGATGTTGATTATTGCTGCTGTTTCTCGCTCTGCTGCACTGAGATGAAACACTATCTTTCATTTCTCCCTTGCTCTCTCTCTTGTCCTCTCATCTTTCTTTGTTTGTCTTCCCTCTCTTTTTTCTTGATCCAGCACAGCAGTTACCCCGTCCTCATGACAGTATTGTGGATGCTACTTAGACCAACAGTCAAACTTGCAGTCAAAGTTTAGGGTCACATGACATTATTTTTTGCAGGTAATGGGAGTATATAATAAACCTGACAAGCTTGGTCATGAGCTTGTGCACATTGCAACAGTTTCGCTACATCATCCTTTGGCTGTGCAACAGTAATATTTCCGTTAAAATATAGTACTGCCACTGTCACCAGACCAAACTCTTTTGGAATGAAGTGTGGGATCTGAGAAGCAGTCGGGGTGAGACACATTAAGGGTGCTTTCACACCTGCCTCATTTAGTTCAGTTGATTCACACTAGAGTTCGTTTTGGCAGGTGTGAATGCAGCAATCGCACTCCGGTGCGCACCAAAAGCGGACCAAACAAGTGTACCAAGACCTCCTTGAAGAGGTGCGTCAGCGTTCAGCGATCTTATAATTGATCTGTATAAGCCGCTATGTTTATGAAAATCATTTTATAAGGTATGGCCTACTTGTCAGCGCGGGTATTTCCCTGATTAATAGGTTAAAATCTGTTAAAAAAAAAGAGGGCAAGTAGTATTCCGTTTACTTGTCAGTTCATTAAGTCCATAAAAAATGTGTCACAGCGATACCACAGTATACTATAGGCGAATAAGCCCCGAATTATTACTGTACATGTCCTGTTTTTACGTTATTATTCATAACAGGCTATGCGTTCGATCTGCGGTCTAACATAACTAATCATGCTTTTAATAAATGATTACTTCATGAGCTCTTTGCGATACAGATCAGAAGCATTAAAGTGCTGCACAAACTTCTGTCAGTCACCGGAGTTTGATTTCCCCACGTGGGTCCTAATGATGCAGGATGACAATCGCCAAAGCTGTCCAATCAACAAGTTACCTGTACGTCTGTGTAATGTCATGGTTACTTCTCTGGTTCGTTTGTAAAACTGCGTGTGTGAACATGAACCGGACCAGAACAAAATGCAACAGTGTATAATTTTTTTCACTTGGTCCGGACCAAATGAACAGGTGTGAAGCACCCTAAGACTGAGAATTTAAAGCCACATGGTGTGAGCACTGTTTGGAAGTGACGATTATTAGCTGTCTGAGAGTTTCCTGTGCATTGGTAATCATTATTGAATGGCTACTGAGAAGAGATGGGAGTTGTTGGCTCCGTCATCAGCTAAAATTATTATGGAATGACTATGAACAAATCTTTCCTTCTAAAGGCAAACGGTGTGTGCTGCTGTTTCATTACTCTGTACAGCAGTCCTGTTTGTCAGGATGTGAGACTGAGGGGCTTTTTCTGTCTGTGATGTATTACAGATGTAGCTTTTTGAAGACTGTAGATCTCTTTTGTACTTTCTTTTATCCAAACCGAATTTCTCCAAGAGTGCCCTTCAGCACTTTGGTGGTATGATAATGCAGAGTTTCTTGCTTGTTCCTCACTGTGTAAGCATGCACAGTTATCTAGCTACATACCTACTTGTGTATGTGTGTGTAAGTGTTGGGCACCACAGTATACCAAATCTGTCATTTTTATGTCTTGTTTCTTCTGGTTCTGTCTCTTTGCTAGGGTTGTTCTTCCTCCCTGCAGAGGACAGTGGTTGCTGTGGTATAGATCTCATAGTGACATAAGGCGCATTTGTGTGTGCTTGTGTATGTGGTGGCAGTGAACTCACATGTTATCTATGGAGGGTATAACAATAGATGACCATACATGGAAACTGTAGAGCTATGGTGAGGCATAGCCTAGTCTGATGTTGAAGAGGTTATAAAGGGGGTATTATTATTATTAAACGATTAACAAAAAAAAAAGAAGAAAGAAGAGGTTATTAAGTATTGCCCTTTTAGCACCCGAGCTACAACCGCAAACTGCCAAGTCTAAGGCTGCTGATAAAAAAAAATGGATTTTTACTTCACAATATTAGGGCATGAATTGTCCATTCAGGGACTTTCCCTACCGTGCTTTTATCCAGAAATAGTTACCTTCAGTATAGCTTCTCCAGTTCACATACACATCCTCTCCCTCAACAACCAGCTCAATCACAGCTCCCCAGCCATCTCCTATTCCTGTGATTGATTGGCATTTCTATGTTAGTGGGTTATAACATCCTACAGCAGTTTATTCACTGGTTTCAGACAAGCTGATGTCATGCTGTCACAAAGATGGACTGACTGCCAGAGAAGCCTACATGCATGCACCACTTAGCCCCATCCACCTTGTACAGCCTGCATAGTGTATCAAGTCTTCTACTGCCGTGTGCAAGATGTGGCTCCTAATTAACCAAGTTTTATTCACATTAATTACGTGAATAAAACTTGGCAAATTAATGAATGCAATGCAAACAGACTGTAGTTTTACAAATTTTCCCCTACTCCTTTTAAATTTTTCCACATGGATGAAAACACATTTGATAATAATAAATGCAAAAGATAGACCTATCCACTGTTAGGCGGTTGCTACTAAAAGTAATCAGTAATCATATGAAATAAATATATAAATGATGAAAATAAATGAAGTCTTTTTCACTATATTTTGCTCAAACTAGGAACATGACACAGACTTTTTTGAGTCAGGAAGTCAGGAAGAAAGGGAATTGCATATCTAAAAGGAAAAGACATGCAGAGATTAAAGTTTAGATGTTTCTTTTTTGATCTTGTCAAGTATAAAATTGGGGCCATTTTGGAAATGCTTTTGAGCTTGAAATATAAACTGTAAACTGTCTTACTGGGTTTAGAATTTAAGTAAAATGAGGTAATTTTTTAGTCTTGCAAAAATAACAACGAGTAGATATTGTGTTTATTCACTCCACCAGTCCTGCACAGAGCTTTAACTTCCAAATCTGATGTGTGACAGACTGTCACCCTTTACATTTTTATTGTTGTATGTGCTTTTGCACGTGTGCATTTAAGTGTCTGAGTTACAGAGATACAGAGATACAAAGATAGCGAGAGGGAGAAAATAGAAGAAGAAAAAGAGTTTATTAAGACCTTCACCAAAGCAGATAAAACAAAGCCTTGTTATCAGTCCCTTTGTTCAACAGCCGATAAAACACACTTCAGATCCAGCTGATCACTGGCAAATCACCCCTGAGCCTTTTCAAGGCATTATGCAGGGCAAACACGCGTGCATGCACACACACACTCAATGCTCTTCCCACTCATGTGTACATTGGCTGCCAGAGCTGTCTTTGTATCCCATCACCATAACAACTGCCTCAGAACAGCTACAAAAAAAGGAAAAAGCCAAAGTGAATTTCTCTCACTCCGTTTGACTTGGAGATGGTGAGAGTAGCGGTCGGCAGCTCCTCGCAGCATGTCAGTGTGGTGTGTGTGACCAAGATGCAGGCTTGTAGAGGCAAGCGGGCTGCAGATGACTTGGTGTGAATAGAGAGGGGCTGTGTGATGTGAAATTCGGAAGGTGTTGTAGAGCGTGACTTTTCAGAACTAGGGATTACAGCATATGATGCCGCACATGGTGAGTGTCAAAACGGCTGCTGCGTTCGGTTCGCATTCTTTCATGTGAGTTGTGCATGTATGTGTATCTTTAAGTTTGTTATGTTAGAGTAAATGCTTTGTGCTAAGTAATTAAGCTGTGTAAAATGCAATGTCTATATATATATGTGTGTGTGTGTGTGTGTGTGTCTGGAGGCTTTGCACATGTGGATGTTATGTAATGACTGAGGCTGAGAAACCTTGAGAGAATGCAATAGTAATGAAAGTTCTCTGAAGCTCATTTGGGATGCTGCAGATATTGTGTAATTTTACGTCCTCAAGAGACATATTAGCTTGTCATCCATGTTTTCATTGTTTAATATTAAAAGTATAGCTTAGTAAATTAGTTTTACTTTATTCTTTTTTTTTTGTCTTTTGTAAGTACAATACATAGTCATTAGATACAATCTGGGTGATTATATTATAGCTCTGATAGTCCGAGATAGATTGTTGTCCTGATTCTTCAGGCTATAGTAATCTAATATGAAATGATGTTGCTGGTACCTTGCTCATAGATTCATTTTTCATTATATACTCTGCAGGCTTACACCCATCAGCAGAGGTGATGAATATTTTTAATCATAAGTCACAGAGGAAATTTAGTGTATGTGTGTGTGTGTGTGTGTGTGTGTGTGTGTGTGTGTGTGTGTGTGTGTGTACAGCATATGTGCATTGCAATTAGGGTGGGTAGGATCTGGATGTCGATTTATGCACGTTTGTGCTTGTTTTATTAAAATGGTTTTAAACATCTATGTTAGATGATGTGAAAGTACTCTTATCAGGCAGTGTACAATATCACCATTACATTTGAAATCAAAATGTGAAGTTAGCCTCAAGATCTCATTGTCTTGGCACTAATCTCCAAAGGAAAGGTCTTTATTTCAGTGTTACTTTACAACCCTTTTCCTGTCTTTTTTGGTCCAACCTATTATAGCTTATGTATCTGCTGCACATGGTCCATTTGCTTTTCATGACTGAACAGAAATAAAACCTTCAGAATCAGAAAGAGAGAGCAGTGACTTTAGCTTTCATCTCTCAGCTGCATTATTAAACATCCCTATCCACATGAGTCTGACATCACCCAATCACAGCTGTCTCTTCCTCTGCCTTCCCCTCTTCCCATTTCCTTGTCTCCCTCCATTAGGCTAACCTGAAGAAGTTTATGGAGTACATGCAGCAGAGGAACATTGAAAAAGTCTCAAGGTTCCTGGAGAAAGGCCTGGACCCCAACTTCCATGATCCAGACACAGGAGGTACGGACGCCTGTGCTTAGAAATATCCCATCCCTACGCTGCTCTAGTTAATTAACAGGGTTTTTTTCCAACCTTGATTTGCCTTTTCTCTTGTGCTTTCTCTCTGCCTGTCTTCACCACAAAATGACCATGTATGGATTTTCTGCAATAAGCCTTCTGCATGCTGGGCAAAGCTGGATTACTCTTTGCTAAGCTCCTCTCGTTTATGCAAATGTTTGTCCAGCCATAAAGGAGATTTCCCTGTTGGGTGACGTTTAGTCCGACAGTGGAGCTGTGAGGCGAAGGGAACATGAGAATAGGTTGGTTTGGCATCAACAGGAAGCAGCCACTTAGGCAGACTGGTGGGTGACAATCACGACAGCCAAGGCAGGATCCATATGCAGAGTCAGTGAAAGTGTAGCCACAGCTTTAATAACTGTAGTGGACAATTTTGTCATCAAATAGTGACAGCTTCAGTTGTTAGATGTTCATTTTCTTAGAAGAATGCACAATAATGTCAGTGGAAATCTGGAAAAATTTTGATATTCTTTGCTTGGTCATCCTTTGATTTTACAGAATGTCCTCTAACACTGGCAGCACAGCTGGAGGGATGTGCAGAGCTCATCAAGGTGCTGAAGAGTGGAGGGGCACATCTGGACTTCAGAACAAAAGATGGCATTACTGCCCTACACAAGGCCGTGCGCAGCAAGAACCATACAGCGCTTATAGTGAGAATATCTCACACACACACACACACACACACACACACAATCACTGCAGAAAGCTGACTTATCACTTTTTTTTCTTTTGCTACACCAATTGCCTGCTTGCAAACTTTTCCTCTGAGAAAGGAGAGTTTACAGGCAGGCATTATCTGGCAGAGCTATTGAGTACAGAGGGTGCTTGAGCAATTACTAAATAGGTGAGGCTTAACGTGCTCTCTTTGAATGGGCTGGCATATTCATTGAATAGCCTTGCATGTGTCTAGTTTGAGGAGGCTTGTAACCTAAATGAAAGGTTTGCATGAGTCATGTAATTCATTTCCTGTTGAGCCAGAACTATTGAAATTGGAATTGGTTATTTCCGCTCAATCATTGTCATTTATTTAATGTCACTGGACTGCTTTTGGGTATCATAAGTCTATGAAAGGTCATACTCTAGCTAACCTATTTTATAAAATCTATAATTGTGTATGTACAAATATTTTATGCAAGTTTTGTTATTTTTGCTGTTTACCAAAGTAACTGCAAGTTACAATTAAATAATGAATATGGGGTTAAAGTGCAGTCTCTCAGCTTTAATTTGAGGGTATTCACATCCACATTGGAGAAAGGGTTCCTTCATTATTTCTTCATCAATTAAGCTGGTAAAAGGTCTAGAGTTAATTCCAAGTGTAGCATTCACATTTGGAAGCGGTTACTGCAAACCTCCAGCATGTGGTCAAAGGAGCTCTCAATGCAAGTGAAACAGGCCATCCTAGGCTGCAAAAAATAAAAACTCGATCAGAGAGATCGCAGGAACATTAGGAGTGGCCAAATCATCAGTTCGGTACATTCTGAGAAAAAAAGAATGCACTGGTGAGATCGGCAACACCAAAAGGCCTTGACGTCCACGGAAGACAACAGTGGTGGATGATCGTAAGATAAACCCCTTCACAACATCCAGCCAACTGAAGAACACTTTCCAGAAGGTAGGCATATCCATATCTAAGTCTAACATAAAGACAACACAATAGCAGATACAGAGGCTTCATCACAAGGTGCTAATCATTCATAAACCTCAGGAATAGAAAGGCCCGATTAGACTTTGCCAAAAAACATCTAAAAAACCCAGCTCAGTTCTGGAATAGCCTTCTTTGGACAGATCTAGATCAACCTGTACCAGAATGATGGGGGGGAAAAGTATGGAGAAAGCTTAGAACAGCTAATGATCCAAAGCATAACACATCATCTGTAAAACATGGTGGAGGCAATGTGATGGCATGGTCATGCATGGCTTCCAATGGCACTGGGTCACTAGTGTCTATTGATGATGTGACAGAAGACAGGGGGTGGTGATGGCGCAATGGATAAGACTATGCCTTTCAATCCCCCACTGTGACCCATCTACCAATGTGTCCCTGAGCAAGACACTTAACCCCTAGTTGCTCCAGAGGCTTGCGACCTCTGACGTATACAGCAATTGTAAGTCGCTTTGGATAAAAGCGTCAGCTAAATGAATAAATGTAAATGTATTCTGAAGTGTATAGGAATATATTGTCTGCTCAGAGTAAGCCAAATTCAGCGAAGTTGATTGGACGACGCTTCACTTACTACAGATGGACAATGATCCAAAACATACTGCGAAAGCAACCCAGGAGTTTATTAAGGCAAAAAAGTGGAATATTCTGCAATGGCTGAGTCAGTCATTAGATCTGAACTCGATCGAGCATGCATTTCATTTGCTGAAGACAAAACGTAAGGCAGAAATACCCTCGAACGTACAACAACTAAAGACTGCAGTAAAGGCCTGGCAAAGCATCACAAAGGAGGAAACCCAGCATTTGATAATTTCCATGGGTTTCAGACTCCAAGCAGTCAAAGTATTAAAAATGAACATTTTATTTATGATTTGTTAATTTGCCCCTAAAGAAAGGAACTGTGTATAAAAATGGTTGCAATTCCTAAACGTTTCATTTGATATTTTTGTTAAACCCCTCAAATTATTGCTGAAAGTCTGCACTTCAATTTCATCTCGGTTGTTTATTTTCAAATCCATTTTGGTGGCGTACGGAGCCAATATATATATATATATATATATATATATATATATATATATATATATATATATATATAAAGTGTGTATATATATATATACTGTATATAAATAAATAAACAAGTGAGACCGGGGACTGTATGAAGCATTATTATCCCCTAATCTTCTTCTTTTCCCACTAGACGCTGTTAGACTTGGGGGCATCGCCTGACTATAAAGACAGTAGGGGGTTGACTCCTCTCTACCACAGCTCGATGGTAGGAGGAGACCCCTACTGCTGTGAGCTGCTGCTGCATGATCATGCACAGGTCGGCTGTGTGGATGAGAATGGCTGGCAGGAGATACACCAGGTAATACACACTGACACACACACAGACAGAGAACAGTGATAGGTACACATGCAGTTGCAGTGTGAAATTTTACAATTCAAAGGTCTTGTCTAGTTTTCAGAGGTTCATTGAATTGACTTTTGTGTGTTTCTCAGTCCTGCCACCCTGTACGCAGGATAAGCGGTTGACGATGGATGGATGGATGGTGTTTCTCAGTCTGAGAATTTCTTTTGTGGCGGGGGTTTTTCTAGTCTAAAATATTGGACATTCACCATTTTGGCAGACTTCTCAATCAATTTCCACTGCATTTCCAAGCAGAAGAAATAAATACAAATACTTGAAAAACTTTTTTTTCTGCATATGTATGTGGGTTGGCTGCTCAAATCAATTTTGTATTTGGAAAAACACTGCTGGCGCGGCATACTTCATTGTGTGAATCAGAGCTCTGTACACTGTACTAATAGCTCCCAGCATTTTTAATTTAGCAACGAGTTTCAGTCTAAGTCTCTTATCACAAAATCGTAGTCGTACAGACACATCTGTGGGCTGAACAGCAATGATGTGCATACAGCTTCATCTGTGTTGGCTGGCTCCCCTTTATTCTTCTTTACTAGTCCTGTAACGTTATCCTTAACACTCGCAGTTGCCGAGTTGCGGCGTCACCCGCCTATCTTGAGGGCCCACACCACAACACATTACCTCAATATAGCGTGTTTGTATCAGTTTAGTAGAAAGAGGAACATCTGTATTTTTGACGGTATCGAAAGTCAGGATTTCTAAATACCTTAGTGTACCATAATACCTTGATACTGCCCAAGCAAAGTGACCACCCACACCTATACATGTACACACACACACATTTTGAATGCTCATTTACTCAAAAATATGCAGTACACCAGGAAAAACTCTAACTACCACTGTCACTACCTATATATACTATAGACGCTTTCATCAGACGTGTTGCCAACGTGACGCGCCTGGCCCAAAGTTAACTTCCTTTCTGTTTGTTTATTACTGAGTTTGTGTTTACTGGCTAATATGGTGAGGGATATCCAGTAGTGTTTCCTATACATTCATTTGTTTGTGGCGGCCCACCACATTATCAGCACTGACCGCCACATATTTGATTTCCGTTTTTTTTTTTTTTACTATTTAAGATGGGAAAACTTATTTGATTGCAGAGCTGCACGCAGCTCATATTCGCTCAGCACCTCCTCTCACTCGCTCCCTCTCTCTCTCTCTCCTGCAAACAGTTGTTGTTACTTACTTGTTATGGATTGCGTGCAGAAGTCTGCCGGAAGTTAAGTTTGGGCCAGAGTAATGCACATGCGCAGTACCGTTTGTTTATCTTGTTACCGTTGAAAGCGTCTATATGTGTTTCTATACTGAGTTAGAGGCATCCAGAAATTAGGTGTTACTGGGACTGGGACTACATTGATACTCACAGTTACTCATTCTGCTGTTGCTGCAGCTGTATCTAAGCCAATGCCTGCCAGTCCAAATAGTGGTGTCTGTCTCTGTCAAGGTTAGAAATAGGTCCTTGACTTCTGAAGAGAAAACACAGCATATCGTGTACATTTTATACACATACCGTCTCAAGCCATACCCTACTCTGTGATTTTTAGCTTATATATGAGAAAGATACTAGAGGTCTAAAGGTCCCTGTACTGTAAATGGAACCAAACAGACAGCTGTGGGATTCATCCCCTCTGTTGCTGATGCTGAATATGAATAAGTGCAGAGTAAATGTTGAATGGCAACATTTTTACTGTTATAAGGGTAGGGGAATGAAGCTAATCCTAATGTTAAATAAACATAGTAGATAATACCACACAATTTTAATTCTTATACCGTAAAACTTTTAATTAACAATTAATAGCCGAGTCCCAAATTGCCGCCTACCAAGTTTGCTGGACTGGTGTGAACACAACACATTTTGACAAATAAACGCAGGTCTCCAGTAAACGCTTGATCTGGTTTTTATATAAGTTTTTGGATGTATAAAAACTCTTTAACCCCACCGGGTTGCCAGCTTAATCTGTTTCTGAGGCGCTTAGATCGTTAATACAAATATTAATGTTAAAACTTATGATTAATATGTCAGTATGGACATGTTACACATCGTTATATCAGTTAGCTTCACCACAATTCAATCGTTCAGTTCATGTAATGGAAACAACAAGCCCCAAAGTCAAATTCTCATAGATTTACCGGTGTAACGGGCATAGTAGGCTACAAGAGACGAAAAAATTAAGTGCTGACTCCTGTTACCTTTGAAGCGCTCGTCAAGTCCGAATCTGTTCCTTGATTATTATTCCTTTTCTCTGTAAGGGTCCACCGATCAAAAGAGTCAAAACAGCTTTTCCTAAAAATTTATCGAAGTTGTGAATATTATCATGTGAAGTCCATTGCTCTCTGTGTGCTAAGTTCTGCCACACTTTTCTCATCGGAGCTAGATCAAATGAATGACGTGTATATTATTTGATCATTTTTAATTTTTAACAGTAATATTCTCCATCCATCTATCCTAGTAATATTCTGTTTGAAATAAATAAACTTTCATAGTAGCCTATTTCAGTTTTGTGCAAGAGGAATTAATGGTCTGTCCCCTATGGATGCCTATCCCAAATATAGACAGGGTCAATTCAGTGATTTTAGCAAATAAAGGCCCGGGCTATTAATCAAAGTTTTATGGTATATACTATTTTATCTGTTGTCATTGTAAATATAATAACTAATTTGAAGTGAGTAACAGAAGAAATAAAATTGCAAAAAGAGGCACCATGTTGGTCAATGTTGTGTCCCGCACCAACCTTTCATTACTGACATGTTCCCACTTCCCCCTTCATCTGTTTATTCTTTCTTTCATAGTTCACAAGTAATTTTTTTTCCTGGGATAAGTTTGAACTGAACTTTGCAGTCCCGGATAAAACAGAAAATAAACAAAAGACAATGGGCCTTATGAAAGAACCAGCCGCACACACAGATACACACAATTTAAGAGAATTTGTGGCGTTCATCAGTTTTTATCATACCTTGAATTTTGTCTAAAGTATGAAGTTAATTCACGAGTGGTCCAGACCTGTTGTACGAGTCATGAAAGGATGCATGTTCTCATGAACAGGTGGCGTTCGTCAATCTGAAACAAGCAAGTTATAAGAAATTTGTGCAGGTAAAAGAGTTTCGTAAATCTAACTTGGAGCAGACAAATTTATGAAATACGAAAATGTTCTTGCAAGAGGTCCACTGATTTCTGGTGTCTTGTCTGTGAGTTTGTGTGTCTTAGCACAGTGGTGCACCTCCATCACACACCATATCTGTCCTCCATTCTGCTTTCCCTAAAGCAAGTGTGTTCAGGTGCTACAGTGGTGAGCAATGAAGACATACACTGAAGGAGAGATAACTTGGGGCGGGGGGTGGGGGTGGGGGGGGGGGGTTTATGTATGCTTTCAGTGTGCAGATACAATAAGGAGTTTAAATGGAAGGAGTGGTACTTCAACGCTGAATCAGATTGTTTATTTGTTTATAAATTCAAGATGCTGTACAGTAAATCCATTAATTCTAATCAAAATAATTCTTCAGCCCTACTTTTTTCTGTGTCATTTCCAGCATTGGTTTTCTAGTGGTATCCATTGTGTAAAAAAGGATACACTACTGATGGTCTTATCACCAACAGCAATCCCAGCATTGTTTGTCTGCTGTCTCACTGCCCTCACACATAACACAGCAATTCCTGGAGAGAGTTTGTGTGCTCTTTTGTCGGCGGAGTAGGAGGGGGTAAAAAAGAGAGAAGATAGGGGTTAGATAAAAAGTTTATTGCTCCCAGTTATGCGAAACAATGAAGTTGAAAAAAGGCATCGTTCATGTCTGAAACATTCTAAGTGCCAGATCTACATTTAACCTCAGGTGATACAAATAATGTTTTCTTTTCCTTTTAGAGACTAACACCTTGAATCAGTTGAATTAGCTTGAGGAAAAACACCAGAAAAAAATTCTGAAGTTCACATGTTTTAGTTTTTGTTCCATTTGCTACAAATCTGCAGATCACCTACACATGCAGATTTGGGATGCCTTTTGTTTTAGGGAATATTATTCCATAATAATCACTGCTCCAATTGTATTGTGTGGCAAAGGAAAGAGGTTGGTTACATCAGCAAACAATAAACTGCCTGATTTCAACCTAAAATAGGTAGAGCCAGAGGGGGGCTGCTGCCAAACTCTCGATTGTTTATGTAGCATCAATTTTCACCCTTCATTGTGATTGGTCAGCTCACAAAAACACAATATATTGTTGACTCATTTGGCCAAGTTGCACATACCCATTACATCCCTGGTTGAAATCCAGCATGGGACCTTAGTCACACTTTTACACTCCTCATTTCTTGTTCCTCGTCAATACAACAAATATGACATATAAAATATAAAATATTCTGTCCTGCTCATGGACATTCTATTCTCTGGGACGCTGTGATTGTTCTGTTTTGTTTTTGTATGTAAACAAGAGTTCATTTTGTAAAATGTGTTCTTTCAGGCATGCCGCTATGGTCACGTGCAACACCTGGAACACCTGCTGTTCTATGGAGCTGATATGAGTGCCCAGAATGCATCTGGAAACACCGCCCTGCATGTGTGTGCTCTCTACAACCAGGTATTATTAAAAAATATACTATAGCTTGTGTGCTTGGGGAGTAAAGGTGGTCAGTCTTCTGTGGAATTACATTTCATATTGGCACATTACACAATTTACATTCAATGCTAGTGTTCAGTGGCAATGCAGGAGGAAGTCTCATGTTCACATAGCAGGGCAACAAGAGCTAAGGGAGTTAAATTGCCATGTGACACGTTTATCTTGGATACCAGTGGCTGGGACTCATGTTCCATCTGAGAGTCTGTTGGCTTTCTTAAATGATTAACCATGATCACAATCTTTCCCAAACCTTAAGTGGTTTTAGTTGCCTAAACTTAACCACACCATATTTGTATATACAATTTGTATGAAGAATGATGTAAAAGTGCTTGCAGTGAAGTTGTTTATCCAGTAACAATATCCTTGTTTGCGAGTGGGTTGGCATGTCTGCATTTGTGTGTGAGTATTATGTCAGATTTTTTCTTTTTGCATTCACACCATGCTTCACCTCTTTGTATATGTGTATGCATGGACATGCACATTTGTGTGTACTTGAGTGGAAGCAGAGGTATCCTTTACCTGGTCATTATCTCCACTGTATTTGTTGTACGTTGTGATAATGGACTGAAAGGGGAGATTGAAGAGAAGTGGTCCAAGTGGGAGTGTGGAACCAAAATGACCGAAGCTCAGGGATATTTCTGTCATGTGGGTTGCAATCACTGCAATTTGGATGAAAGGAGCAAACAGGTTTTTGTTATGGTTTATTATTTGTGACGCTTTATATTTAAAATGTGACAGCTGATAGCTTATAGACTATCAGAGCAGAAAGGGCCTGTGTGCAGTTATAGGGCAATTATTGAGCTGTCCTACATAAGGACCAATGATCAGCTTTGATTCCTGAGGTCTATAATACATTTCTATTTGCACGACACATATTAAAGGATAAGGCTGGCATTGTTTCATATTTTTCTTTTTGTCAACAAATCCCTTGAAATGACAAAAAACAATTCATTAGTCTGCTCATATTTTCCAACTTCTCTACCCTGTCTGTGGCTCTCAGCCCCAAGCCTATTTCACTCATTCACTCATTTCAATCTTAGAAGAAATATACTGTTTTATCTTTAAATGTTACTCCATCGGGAGTAAATTCAGCTGTGGAGTAACAACAGTTTTTAGAGAGAACAATAAATGTCTGAGGCACGGAGGACTATGCTTTATCAGGCTTTGGATACACAAGCAATACGTGTTAATTTTGGACTTGTTATAAGATTTGTTGGCAGTAAGACTAGATAGTAAGAGTATATAGAACACTTTCATTGTCATCCTTTAAGTAATTTTCTCTAATTTCAACCCAAATCATTAACAACCTTTACAGTCCCCAAATAAGGACATTTTCTCTGCCTGAGATGATGGTTGGAATGGTGATATTTGTATCACACTCGATGAGACAATGATTGGACTGGAAAGCTTAAATGGTGGTAGTGGTTTATAAAATAATAATATTCTTTTAGTGTCTTATGAGGTTGTGATAACAATGAAAGAAACACATGGAGTGCATATTTTAAAATATGACTGAATGTGTTCTATATCAGGAGAGGTACAGGAGGACACTGGGGGATAAAGGCAGTGAAAACCAGCAAACTGGAAAGTGTGTTAGATACATTATGCCCAAGTGTGCGTTGTCCTGTTTGGTTAGATGCTGCTTGGAGAGAAACATGTAACTGGGCGTTCTGGTAAAAGGCTTTCCTTCATTGGGAAATAGAGTAGTGCTCAGTTCATGAACATTAAATGAGCTCTCTCCCTCAGTTCAGTTCAGTTGAGTGTGCTTTATTGGCATGAATGTTTCATTTATTAAACAGTGTTGCCAAAGCAGTTTCAAAATCGAAATTGTAAATTTGAAGAAGACATAACAAGATTAATCCAATCAATACCGTTCAATTTAGCAGTTATAAATTACGTAAGCATCATATTGGTTTTGGATAAAGGTTGTTATTTAATTGATCAGTTTTGTTGAATTTAGAGCTTTCACAAATCAATCAATCACAAATCATTGTTTGGGGCTCATCTGTATGTCTCCCTGAGTTTTTACAGCTTACCAGGGCTCTGTTTCTAGGGTTGTTAGGAATTTTCATTTAAACACATTTATTTGGTTGTGGTCTGAGAGTGGCCTGACAGTGAATGCGTTGAAAGTGGAGGGGTCCATGTTAGTGATTGTATAGTCCACTACACTACACCCAAGAGCAGAAGAATATGTAAATCTCACTAAAGAGTCTCCTCTGATCCTACTGTTAAGAAAAGCACGGACTTCAGGCTCGGCAGAGGTGTAGTAGCTCCCTACCACTGCTGTTTGTCACACTATCAAGGTTGTTTCTGTGAGTGATGATTGGTTTCTATCTCTCTCTCTCTCCGTCTGTCTGTCTCTCTTTCTATGTCTCTCTCTCTTGCATACAACCAGTGAAAAATGTGTGTTTTTGTGTTGTAATTGACCCTTCGCTAAGCCCCGCCCCACTTAGCTACTGTTGCTAAGTCCGACAAACTGAGAAATATTGTCAAATTTGTTGGAAAAAGCGTTGCGATCTCAGAAAGAAGCAGACAGTTTTGCAATTGCATTATACATTTGAAGGTTGTATTCAGGCTGTCAAACTGACGTGAAAAAAATAAAAGCCTAATGTTACCAATCACACAGTATAAGTGAACCACCGCATCCCCCGACGATTGAGACAAAAGACAACGATATTAAGGATCAACACTGTTCCTGTACAGCTGGGTAGGCCTCTATTCATTATTACAATCATCACATCACAGCAGGGACAGAACAGTAGGGCTTTATAACGTTACATTCAGCTGGAAGTTAGCTAGCGTTAGCTAACATTACATTAGGAACGATCCACAGCAGACATTTTTCTGGATTTATTTTAGGTTTTGGAAAAAGAATAAATCGTACTTCTCCTTTTAACCTCTCTGGGTAGCTGCTGTAACTACTACAAGTGCCCCAGGAACAGCGTTTGACCATATCTTGGAAAAATACGGCAGACGAAAGCTAGAAAACAACTCCTTTTCATTAGACTGAATGGAGCGCAGCCATAAAAGTGCTGGACCTCAGTTAGAGGGAGTCCTATACTGCGCTGTGATTGGCCAGCTGTGTATTCGGGGCGTGGCGAAGGGTCATTTGTAACCGTGTACTGCTAGGCTAATTCCAGTTATGAGAAATGACCTGCTTCAACTGGACTGGAACAACATGGTCTTTGTGTGTACGCGCGGGCGCGTATGTTTGTGTGTCAGCATGGGTTTGGGAAGCACAGCATCAAAATTTAAAACAAGCTGTCATAACAAATTACATGGTGGGAGGGCCAGGGCTTATGTGGGTGAGTGTGTGTTTTTGTGGTGCTAGAGGAGCTATAATCAAAGATAGAATGGGTGAATAGTTTAATTTACAGTCACTTGTACAACTTCTTGTGTGCTTCCACTAAAGGATGGTTTATCGGCCAGCGGAGGCCGAACACCATGTTGTACTGATTGATCCAAGAATCGGCGTCTCTTAGCAGGGTTCCGGCAAGCTCAGAACAGGCCCGGCTTGGATAATTATGTACCATTACAGAAAGTAATGGGCCACTACAATTGACTGGGAAACTAGTAGTCCAGTGGCAAAGATCAATATATCCATATTGAGAGCAAAAAGAGAGAGTGTCAGAAAGAGGGACGGATGAACGTAGGAGAGGGTGGATGAATGACAAGATAACATTATCAACAACAGAATAAGTCTCATTCGTGGGGCCTGGCTGGCCATAAACATTTACTTATTGGGCTTTTAGCTTGGCAGATGTGATCAGCGGCAGTGAATGAAGGCATGGCAGGGGGATTTCACCTCGCAGACAGATCTATTGGAGGTGGTTGGATGAATGATTGAGAAAGGACACAGTAGGTAAGGCCAATTGGGGACAACACTGATGAGTAAAATTAAAGAGATGTGGCGCAAGGCACACATACAACTGTCCAAACCAGTCTGACCAATGAAATCTGGGGAGAACTCTATAACAAGCTGTACAGAGGAAGTACCACTGTATTTCATGGTACAGTATTTGTACTATGCAGTTGTTGTGCACAGAAATGTATTTAAAGTGTTTCAGCCTTAAATCATGTATCTTATGTGCTTTGTCAGTCTCAATCAAATGTAAAAACAACCTCTACCTTCACTGCAGGATGTCGGATCTCTCCTTCAATTCTAATGAGAGAAAAATGCTCAACTGTATAAACATGGCTGTGAGAGCTACCATCTGTCACACTCTTTACACTTGACTGACCCACGTTCTTACTGGAAAGCTTGACTTAGCTCCCGATGTATTCCTATGTAGCTAATGTAATCAAATCTACCATACCATAGTGAGGACTAGTGGAATAGTTTTCTTAATGAATTCCTATAGGAAGCCTTGGAGAGAAGAGCAAGACAGATGGCCAACACTGTAATTGGCCTCCGCGCGTGTGTTTTTGTGCATGTCTGTGTATACTATACTATGCGTCTGTGCAAAGGAGTATACAGTGTCTCTAAATGGCACAAATAAACAAATTCAGCTGTTGAGCTTCTCAAACCTACATTTGTTTGATTATTTAAAAAGGTAACCTATTTAACATCGACACCAGACACATCAAGGTTACTATGCATTTAAGTGGAAAGATTCATGGTTGGGTCATATCATTGGTCATTCATTGTGCAGTTTTGTCAGTGTTTTACCACATTAAAAAAATCAATAAATATCAAAAAGATAAACTTTGTGTCATATGCAGTATGTCACAGCTAATGACATGGTCATTAGCTGTGACATACTGCACTCATGGTTTCTGGTTGTCATAGTAACACAGTACACTTTCCTGCTGTGGAGTTTTTCAGGAGCTCAATGTAATATAAAATAATGTAATTATTGAGGGTTGGGTGGCCATGACCGTCACAAACATCCACCACTGAATGTCTCCATTGAAGTGCATATGGCATTTATCGCCGATTCTTTTTCTCCATAGTATGACAT